GGGGGGGGTTGGCTACAAGTGCATAGAGGAATCCTGGGCAGACATGCTGGCCAGGAATGGGGCCTAAGTTCACTTCTAGGCTTGGAAGTGAAGACACTATTATGGAATCTGTACTAGGAGGGAGACTCACACCCCTCCCCCATACATGCTTGCAGGGGTAAGGCTGAGTTCCCCAATGCCTGAATGTGTGTCAACTGTGCCTCGCCAGTACTAAAAACCCACCTCAAACATAAACTAGCTTCATTTACCCACCAGGCTTAGAACCATAGAGGATCCAGAAACTTCTAGGCTAGTTGATTCCACATTTGATCATGTGCCCCTAGTTAAACTCTAGTTAAATGGAATCTCCATTGCAGCCTCTCTCGTTGTCAAGCAAGCATACATGTGAACATATGGGGAAGTTCTTGTTCTCCAGAATGATTGCTAAATTCAAGTCATCCCCTGGCCATCACTAGGTGCAGAGCCTAGGACAAATGATTTCATCTTTTATCTGGAAAGTGGGGGTGGCACCAATCTATCTCAGAGTCCTGCATCTGTTATGAGAATGGCATGGAGTAACAGTGGGCAGTATTTAGATTGCAGCCCAACACTGGCAGGCAGGTGACAGGCAAATGTAGCGGAAGGAGGGGATCCCCAAGCAGTGCTCAACCTGTGCACATCCTACAAGATTACACATAGGGCATTTAATAAGCTATCATAATCCATTAAATTGATTCCATAGTCTACTGATGAGTGTGCTACATGGTTCAAAAACAAACCATAGAAGTAAGCCTACTGCCCTTTCACAGGCTAGAAAACTGAGTCCCAGGAAAGTCATCCAGTGGGCTGAGGACCAACTCACACTTCCCTCTGACCCCTTTTCCTTCTGTGCCATGCCCTCTCAGGCTGGCCTTGCCTGATGGCCAGATAGGCAGTTGCTGATGTCCTCTTCCCTCATTGTCCCTCCAACCCCAACCTGCCCCAAATTGCCCCAGTGACAGCAACAGGTTTCCCATTTCAAAGCCCAGCCCTGCTCTTGGAAGATCAGAGCTGGGGCGTGTTTCCCTCTGCCCAGCCTCTGAGTCTTTGAAGTCTCTGACATCTGGTTTTAATTTTGGAGGACCACTGCTGTTTGGTGAACAGTTACCTCGGAGCACCCAGTACAAACAGAGGTACAGAGGCGGGCTCCTGTTTCCTTGCTTTGCCTCACACACCCTGCCCACGTGTCACATGATCAGCCCCTTCGACAACCCTGGGTTTCACTTCATCTCCTCCTACCAACTGCCTAGCTTTGCCTGAAACTTCCTGTTCTTGGCACTCATTCTTCTAGTTTTCAAAATCGCCATCTCTGTCACCAACTCCCCTGTTGTTCCGTTCTTTTTTTTTCCTTTCCCAAAAAGGATAACAGAAAAACTAAAGGGCTGGGCTGAACGGGTCCGGGTAAATAATTCAACAGGCTTGCTTCACCAGTTAGCCAGCTTGTTTAGGTTTCGAATGATTACGTCTTGCCTTGCCGCCCATAGTTTGCTTTACAATTGCGTTTGAGATTCGATGACACGGTGACAAATTTGAACTCACAAATTAGGACGCTTCGAGGTTATTTGTTATTTACTTTGAGCAAAAGGCAGACACGGCAATGGGAAACACGAAAGGTTATGTGTATAGTGTTTAATAGCAGAAAGGCGGGAAGTCGACCGTGAAAAAGCTTTTCAGCATATTTACCCATTTCCTCAGCTCCTGGCTTTATTAAATGGTATCCTGAAAGGTGCCCCACAAAGGCACCTAATCGCATGCAATGGTGCAAAGGAGCCTGTTCAAAGACAGGAGGGACAGTGCCCTCTCTTCTCCAGGGCATCTTGTTGAAGGACACCTCTAGGAGACACAACTCTGTAACACAAAGCTTTCCACAACCCTTCCCACCCCACCCAGGGCCTGACTCACAACCTCATTCATTTCCCAAATAGTTGATGAATGAGTGACCGGGGGAGCAACTAAACAAGTGAATGAACGGATGTGTGAGTCACCTACCTGGCCCAGGTGGGAACCGACAGCCTACAGCATAGGCTAGGTTTCTTGTGTGTTCCTTATTTTAACATTGCTTATGAGCTGCCGACATTGGAAGTTTTACTAAGGAATGCTAGGTTTCCTTTGCTGGGGGAGGGGCTTTTGGAAGAACTAGCCAGAGTAGGCTTTCTGCTCTCTGGGCCTCTGCCTATTGAATTAAGTCATGGTGCCCAGGTGGCACCTTTGCCCATTGCTCCTATCTCTACCATACCTGACTCTTTTGGCTGTAGTCAGATTCCCTACAGAATGGTAGCTGTACCCAGTGGGTGTTTTAGTTTGTCATACCTTGGCCAGAAGGTTTAGCCCAAACTACTTTCACCAAAGTCTCTTTAAATCCATGCCCCCATCTGTCCGTGTCCATGAAACACCAACACAGTCTGGACTTAGGCTTCTCAAGCTGCTGTTTCACGTACGGCTTTGGTGACAAGTGATTCTGATTATTTTATCTGTAGGTGGGCCCCGAGGACCAGATTGTTTTATAGAGTTCATTTTGATTCCAAAGCAATCCTGTCTAGCATAGTGAAAGGGTGTGTTTTAAGAAAGCAGGACCAGTAAGACTCACCAGCAGTCATGAAGCCGCAGAGAGTTGGGGCCCATTTCCCACGTAACAGAAACAAGCTTCATAATGCATGGAGATGTTTCTATTGGTTTTGGTGGGCAGCATTCATCTTGATTTGTGCCCTGCCACACTGCCCTCTCAACAGAATACCCAAATGCAGCTCAGCTCCACTCTGGGGTGAACATCATGCAACCCCTATGGTTGCTACTTTTGTGCTGCCATTAGAGCCTGCAGTGTGAGGTTCGTGTCCATGCCTCTTGAAGCTTCTGCTGGAACTCTAGTTTATCATCCAACCGAAGTGACCCTTGCTCCACAACAGCTCACAAGGGTGAATTTAAGGCTCTGTGTGCATCTTCCCTTTCCTCCTCACAAGGCCACACCTAGAGAGAGGACTTCCTGGGGCTTTTTGGTATTGTCCCCTGCTGGGTGGCAGCGGAGCCTGCTGTAGCAATTTTCTTTTCTCTGTTCACCTTCACACAGACTCAAAGCCCACTGTGGAGACGCTGGGACCCACCATAAAGAGTGAAGAGACTACCACCCCATATCCCATGGACGAGGATGCCACCGAGTGTGGGGAGAACTGCAGTTTTGAGGATGGTAAGGACTGGGGTGAGCATATGTTTCATCGTGGGTGGCACAGGTATTGACCAGACAGATGGCCCAGGATCAGGCAAGAACTTGGGCTCCCTTGGCTTAGAGATCCACATGAACTTACAGAAGGATTCAAGGAGGGACAAATACTCAGAGGCCTGAGGCAGTGGCTACTAGAAACACTCAAATATTGTAACAACGTTCCTCTGTGGTACAGTCATAGGAAGACCTGATGTCTTCTTTTTCCGGAGTGGAGGAAGGGATGTCCAAGGACCAATCGCACTTCCCTATGTTTTGCTATAACCTCGATTTATGAAAGCATAGCAGGGATGGTTCTCCCAGAATACATCCCATCTGCAGGGATCACACAAGCAGAGGCAGGATGTGGGGTTCCTCAGCCAGTCCTTCAGAACCCCAAGGTGTCCTAGTTTTTGGATCACCTCTTCACATGGAAAATCTGTATCTTCCTCATTTTATCTTCTGAACACATCCAAGTTAGATAAAGTCTGTTTTGTTCAGCTCCTCGTGTACTGGAATGTTGCTGAGAAGCCACAACTTCTGCTACACCTGGCAGTTTTGGCTGGACTTTAAGTTTGACAGCCTCGATTTACAGTAAATTACTGATCATTATTAAATGTTCATTAAACAAAATGAGGGAAGAGTGGCAAGGAGACTTGAGAAGGGCCGCAAAGGTGTAGAAAGGTGGTGAAACCTCGGAGCCTGCTCACAGCCAGGAGGCAACATGGGAAACTGCCCGGATGGTATGGATGGCTCCAAAAATTAGCCACTAAGAAGAATGGGAGGAAAGCCAAACACTAATGCTGAAGTTTTGGGACTGAAAAAATGATAATTTAATACACATGCTTTGGGGTGTGTGCTTTGGTGTATTGTGCGGGTAGGGGGTACTTTTGGTCAGGGTTAGTTGAATACAAAATCTTGATATTTTAATGAACTTGTTTTAGTTTCATAATGAGAAGTGGAGAATCTTCCAAGACATGTCTGAGGCAAAGAGCTGAAAATGAAACTCACAGGGAGTTAATGTATAGCTTTAAATTCACAGAATTTGCATGTCAGGAGGCTTGGGAATGGGGAGTCTATCTAAACAGCAATCCAAAGGAAAATTTAAGGGTTCTGCTGCAAAATTTCAGAAGTTTATTTTTAATATAATTTTACCGTTTACAGTGGTTTGTTTGATTTGAGGTTTCTTTGATGGTCCCTCCTTTCTTTTTAGTCAAAGATCTTTTTTTGTGGAATTTGGTTCCTGAGATATTGTATCCGTATAAACAGTACAGGGGAATTATGGTATATTGAATTACTCTGTATTTTTGAATGGAAAAATAGACATGCAGAAATTGTGGAGAGAAGGGCATGGTGAGGGCTGAGGACGGACTTTCCCAAGCCACAGGTTGATGCTTCTGTGATGGCTTCCATGTGTTTCCTTTCCCCTCGAGCTGACTTTGGCTAAGGGTGGGCAAACACTGAATGTTCCCTCTTGGGAAGGGGGCACACAAGTAGGGTCTTCTGGCAACTATGTCCTGCTGCTGATATCAGCAGAACTCTTTCCTCTGAAGCCAAGCTTCCTCCACCCCATGGTGGGCAATTTGTTTCTACCCAGCTGATGTTGCCTTTAGACATTTTAGTGAGAATTCTGAGCCTTCCCTGACAGAGATTCCTCTCTGGGAACCTGGGAAGGGAAATGAGACAGACAAGGACCCCACTTCCTCCCTGCTACCAGCTTTGACAAGGCTTTTCCTCTGTTGCTGGCAAGTGACCAAGTTTGTCTTCCCATTTTCTCTTTCGCCACCTCCGTAGCACTCCCACTTAATTAGATCTGGGTGGAACACCAGAGATAACCCACTTGGTTCCAGTTTTGGGCTCAGTTAAGTAAATCTCCAAAAGTAGACAGGGTGAGCCATTATGTGGTCACTTTTTAGAGATTTGTGGGGAACATGTTCTTCACTTCCTCTGGGATCCCAACCCAGCCCTTAGGGGCTCTGCACAACGTACTCCTGAGCAACTAGGATCACAGGCCCGTGCCACCAGGCCTAACGTATAAAAATACCCATCATACTCAGCACTGAGCTGGGCAACTCCAAGGACAACACCTTCATCTTCACTCTTAATATGTCAGATTGCCCACCTGCAATCTAATCTGCCAAACTAAGAAGCCTTATGAAATAAGGGGCTGTGTCCCAAAGAGGTGAAGGATAACAAACAAGCCAGCCTTGTTTCCTAGGTCATTTTCCTTGCATCAGCCAGAAGTTCCCTGGCATTCAGGTCTCTCTGGGTGCTAATGGGCTGCCCCATCACTTCTGAGAGCCAGGCTGGCAGGAGATGAGATGATCCTTTTAGGGAGCCAGCCTTCCACTAAGGCACTGGGAGACATTCTTCTCTGGCATGTAGGGAACAGCAATTTTCACATTTGTCTGCTCTCTGAGGTAAAAAAAGAGGAGGCTGATTAGAGCCTGAAGCCATTTGGTGGCCTCATTTATAATTGCTTACTATGGAAACCACTGGCAGAGTTGGCTTTCATGCCTGGGAAGGATGAGACCAAAGCCTGACCCGAAAGTCAGCCATCGCCAAGATGTCTGAAATGCATGAGCAAAGGGAAGCCCTTCTTTCTCTGCCTCCTACTCAGGGTTTGCCAGCCATTGAAATAGAGCCCTGTGGCTATTCTCTGGGACTGCTTCATTTGCCTGCCTTTTACTTACTTTTCTTTCCCTTTTAGACAAAGATTTGCAACTTCCTTCAGGATTCAACTGCAACTTTGATTTTCCTGAAGAGCCCTGTGGTTGGATGTATGACCATGCCAAGTGGCTCCGGAGCACCTGGATCAGCAGCGCTAACCCCAATGACAGAACGTTTCCAGGTAAGACAGTGGAGGCATCCTATGAAAGATGGAAAGCCAGCTTGCACATGTTTGGGTCCCAAGTTCCTTGCAAGCTTCAGAATTTCCCACTGCAAGGCAATTGTCTGCTCTTTAACCACAAACCACTACAGACAACAGCACACACACTGGCTGGTCAGTGGTTCCTAAGCCACTGAGAATTTCAGCACAGCTTGAAATTGCCAGGAAGAAAGAGAAACCAGGATAAAAGAGGGAAAGAAGCCACTAAGAGGGCCTCAGGAGAGACGGGAGTAGTCGGTTACTGTCCTCCTGTTCCCCTAGCGTCACTGTCTACTACTGTCACATAGCCTCTTGTCAACAACAAGGTAGGTATTGTTTCCAAAGCTGTTCACTGGGAAAACTGCTGGCCTTGATTCTGACTCATAGTTCTGTGAGTACCACCTCTCTTGGAGTCAATCAAGGCATAGAACTGAAATGCTCCTGTGTACAAGGTGTGACACCACAGATGTGATGCCGGTGGGTGCATCTTAGCAAAGAGCCAGACACTTGGCCCATAAGAGACTTACTGTCAGACCTTGGCATATCTTCATACCATCTTTTGGCCCCAGAGAACCAGATCTCAGAAGCCCAGCCTGACACTGTAGATAAGCACTGCTTTTTAGCCCTTGTGAACAAGGAGAAAGGAAAGGTATCAGCTGGTTCTACTGAACATGCTTTAACAATTGCCTTCTGGATATATTTAACAATAGACTTTCCAAGGATTAAAACAAAGTCTCAAACTTGCTTGACAAGGTGTACCACATTCAACAGTAAAAATACTCTCCCCACAGTTTAGGGAGCCACAGGCTGGGAGGTGGAGCTGAGGCAGCCAGGAGGAGGGCTGGGGGAGTGTTTCCATTGTTCAGATACAAGGAGCACAAATCACCTCCAGAGCAAGGTATACTGAAATAATTAGGAAATGTTCAGTTGGGAGTATTTATTATTTTCCCTTTTAAATATAATTTAACATAGCTTTATGTGATTTAATTTCTAACAATGATTATATTTAACTGGCTTGTGAAGTTCTAGAAAATTTAACAAGTGGCCCTCACAAACCAGTACACATTGGTCTAAAACATTTTGGTTAGCTTTGAGTTTCCATACGCCTCCTGCCTGGACCTCAGATGCCCATTAATAAGCCTCTGAGAGAAAAGGGGGTTAATTATGGAAATTTAGCAGACTAAATGTTGAAGGACAGGGTAGACAATGGAAGGGGAGAGGCTTTCCCCTTACTGGCTTCTTCAGAGCTGCCCTCACCCCAAGTGCTGATGGTGCCTCCTCTGGTCCCCAGGAGTTGGGGGTACTGGGAGGAAGAAGCACTAGAAGAACACTTGGGGCCACTTTCCTGCCATGGCCCACACTTGCTTTCCCAGAGGGTCACAACATCTGCTCTGAAGAAAAACATTTTCATATTTCAAGTGTTTATCTCTTCAGCATTTGAGTGCAGGCTCAGAGAGATTTGTATCTGCGGATCACTGCCGCCTCGGGCACAGGAGCGAGCACTCCCAGCGCCTGGTCCCTCCCCCTCACTTACCCGAGTCCCAGCGCCTGGCCCCTCCCCCTCACTTACCCGAGTCCCAGCGCCTGGCCCCTCCCCCTCTCGGTCTCTGCAATAATGCTTAATTAATATAATGAGCCTCCTGCACGTTGGGAAAAAAATACTTATTTTTATAACCCAGCCTGAATTTTTCATTTCATTTCCTCTCCTTTGAGACTGGGGCCAATTAATTGGTGGTTTTTCCCAGCCCCCATTTTTCTCTGAATGTAAGAAAGGTGAACGGGGTGTGTGTGTATGTGTTTACATTTCGTCTGCATGAGAGATAGAGAGGGCTTGGCTTGGCTGAGGTACTTTAAATAAAGGGTTGTACACATGGACTCTCTTTGGGGTGGGAGGATTTATCATCTCTTATCCAGGGTCCTTTCTAATCCTCTAGCTTCCCCTCCCTATGCTTCTGAGAAGGTTTCCTCTGATAGTGTCTGAGGCTAGCCCTACCTAGACCACAAGGGCACCAGTGGCAGTTCTGACAGAACTTCTTCTGTCACCACTCTGTCATAGCCTGCCGCCCTTTACTTCCACTCAATCTGTTCAGACCCCACCCTCACCTGAATGCCTGCTCCCTTGACCTTGCTGCTCATTGGAAATGGCAGTCTTTGCCTTCATTTCAGCTGATTCATTCATTACACTCTGTAGTTGGGGGGGGGGGCACTGTTCAGAACAGCTTAGGGAAGTGGGCAGAATTCCAACTTCTGGCTGAATAGTTGGGGAGAGAAAGAAAATTAGGGCCAAAAGGAACCGCTGGGTTTAATGTTGTTCCTGTCTTAAGACGCTGAGAAGGAAAATAATTATTTTCCTTTTCCAGAGGAATCATTGAAGTTTGGTGAAGGGACACTTGCAACCTGACTCTGGGAAACAAAATCATAATATTGCTCTCAGAACTCTTTATCTTCAGATGATTAAAAAAAAAAACCACCATCTTCTCTGTTTCTCACTGTCCTGCTTACAAAATACACAAACAGAAGATAGACCCATTTCTGTTTGGGGTGGTCCCTTCTTGTTCTTTAAAAAAAGGGGCCCCAAGGGAAGCAGTTGGGAGAAAGGAATCAGCTGCTGCTGGGCTCAGGGCAGGGAGGATACTAATGGGCACAGAATGGCAGGCGCCTGGCCCCAAACCTGAAAGTCACTGAGTCACCCTACTTTGCTCTACCACAAAAAGACCAGACCCATTGCTGTCTAGAAGGATGCAACATGCTTCATCCCCCTCAGTGAGTGTGCAAACAGATGCCATTAAATTTTGGAAAGGAGGTGTCTCCGTCAAACACAGAGAAGGTGAAGAGGGAGGGGAAAGGGGGAGGGGCAGGTGGGATGGCCATGCTGAAATTCAACACAGTTGATTGCAAGTGTCCATGGAAACAACTTACATTGCTTAGATGTTTTCTGATTGAGTTGTTTTCTCGTGTTTTCTTTCCTTTCCTTGTTCCCTTTTAAGTCAGCAATTAGTTCTGTTCCTTTGGCTGTAGTAATAGTTGCTGCAGGCTGACAAGACACCCACTGGTTCCATTCCACTGTTTTTGTTTTTCAACATCGCCTTTCAAGCCACTCGGAATTTCTTTTTTTTAGCTCTTGTGGCTAAGCTGCCTAGAGTGCATCCACACCACCCCCACCCAGATGGCGCTCCAAATCCAGTGACCCCTGGTGGTAGCAGAAGAGCCTGCCCCACCCTCCTTGACAAGCCACTTTGTCTTCTCTCTGAAGCTACAATGACATGGGGTCGTTGTTAGGACAGACATATTAAGAGTTCTGAGAATGATCAGTGTTGGGTTTTTAAGAAAGGACACAAGCTCCCCTCGAGAGGATAGGTGGGCCTGGTATCCAGTTCTCCAGTGTTGAGTAAGGAGTATACTTTTAATGAGTTAAAATTGTTTCAGCTAATACTCCAGTTCTGCTATGGCACTGGTCTTCTTTTGTGGATGCAGAGGCCACAGTTTTTATGCAGGGAAGCAGCATCACAGTAATGTATTAGACAGTACTGCTGTAGTGCCTTTGAACAAGCTCCCAACCCTTGCTGATGCGTCTATAGCCTGGTTTAGTGAGAGCCGTGAAGCCGAGAGTTAGGAAGGTGGATTTGCTGGAGCCCGTTCTGCAAGTGCTGCTATTTTGATTTTCCATCTTTGCCACTCTTTCTTCCTCAGCAACTATGGGAAATTAACAAGGGACAACGCATGAAGGACTACATGAGGTCACTCAGAAAGAGCATACTAAGTAAACAGCAATACTAGTAGTATCGAGACTTGTTATCGTTATGGTCATTGTTATTGTAAAGAATAAGATAAGACCTGGACCTGGTGGTGCTAGCACATAATCTCAGCTACTTGAGAGACTGAGGCCGAGGCAGAAGTAGTAGATGTTTAAGGCCTGCCTGGGCCACAGAATGAGTCCAGGACCACCCTAGGCAACTTAGCAAGACTGCCTCAAAACAAAAAGGGAAAAGGAGGGCTGAGTTGGAGTCAGTGGCAGAGTGCTTGCCTAGCATCTAGGAGTGAGTGTCTAGAGTTCCTAGGTCCAATCCCTAGCACTACTGGGATGAGGGGAAGGAGAGGGAGGGGGGGGAGGAAGGAGGAAGAGGAGGAGATAAGGCCAGAGATAAACAGGATTCTGCCCAGTCAGCCTCCTGATCAAGATCTAGTGTGATCTGGAACATGTGCTCTTCCACTCTGGAATGTGTGAATGCTTTTAAACATTGACTGACCCTGTAAAGTGTGATTACAATGCTCCCCCACTTTGGTAACTAAAAGCCATGAAAGCAGCTAAAGAAAACAGGCAAAGTCTTCTTGGACTAGGACAGCATTGTGAAGGGAACTTGGCTCAACTTACAGGAGGTTCAGAGGAAGCACTGTGGGAGTAAGCCAAGAATGTAAACACTCAGGTTTTACCCATGTTGGCCATCCCTTCAAATGTAGGTAGAATACCCTGTTAACTTTTTTACTGGGGTTGTTTTGCTGCAGACTTGGTTTCTGATAAACGCCAGCAGAGTAGGAGACCGAAGCCCTGATGCTTTTAAGACAGGCTTGCTTTTTGATTGTAAGCTAGCAATGACTCTGAATTTAAAAACTTTCCTCTGTGCTCAAAAGATCAGGTGACAGCTTTCAATTCAGACACTGTCAAACAAGTGGCTCTTACCTTTCCTGATGCTGCCACCCTTTAATACAGGCCCTCCTGTGGTGGTGTTCCCCCAACCATAAAATTATTTGCATTGCTACTTTATTACTGTAAATTTAATAGTGTTATGAATCAGAATGTAAATATCTGATATGCAGGATATCTGATACAAGACCCCAGTAAAAACGCTATTTGACCCTCTGGTGGTGTCTTGACCCAAAGGTTGAGAATCCCTGCCTCAGATTGAACCACCTTGGGAAGAAGGTGGCTATGGGTTGGATAGGGCATAGCCCTTAAAAATATAGAAAACTGGGGCTATGGACCA